AACTTGAAGTATTATTTTGATGCTCTAAGACCCTAAAAGTAATTGACGTTCAGTTAGGTAAAGAATTGTTCACTAAGACCCCGCTTTACAATTTGCGCTTCAGTTAACCCGTAATTCATTAATTTTTGGCACTTAAGGGTTACTTAAAATGCAAATAAATGATAAATGATCTTTAGTCTTTTAAAGACTAAGACTTAAGCAAAAGAGACGAACTATTAAGACTGCAGTTTGGCAAGATTTCTAAGTTGTAACACTAGTATAAAAAAAGCGCAGATTAGATGCAGAGTGAAACTTCCGCCTATTTTATCTATCCGCGCGTTGCAATCGAGACTAGTATCTTTTATTCGATTTTTATTGTTGATATGAAATGTGGGATCTAAATTGTCAGCAGCCTGAACTCGATGTCCAGGGTAGCCTAATAGATTTTATAGGTCACAGTGTATCATTGTATTTTCTAATTATTATAACAATAACAGTAAAAACCACTCTTTCAACAATTAATTTGTTATTTATTTCACAAAACAATCATAGCAATTCATATCAAATGGCAATAATGTCAATATTACATTCATGAAAAGGATTTTTTGATGAAAGGAACTATTATTTAAATTTTATACAATACCCAAAGCTTACAAATTATATTTTCTTATAAGGTGTCGCGCCAGAACCTTGAATATTTATACCAACGAATATAAGAACCAAGATGTGATAGGAACTGATATTATAATATTTTAGGGTTTTAGCTGAGAGAGTTTCGTCATGTGTTGTTGTTAAATGCTTACTGAAGATCACTTTTTACAAACACATTCTGTCCAATGTTTTCAATCACAAAAAGAAATGCCATTCAAATCCTGTACAAGTTTAGCTAATCAAACGGACTGATCTTCCTCAGATTCTCTAGTTGACACAGGTTTGTGTTGAGTAACAACATATTCATCTTCAAAGTTGTCCGAGTAGTTGTTTATTGATATTTTGCTCGGTTTATCAAAAATTTTATGTTATATATCTTATCGCAATAGTCACATTTGATTACAGAACACTTTGCCTTTATATTGTTTTGCTTGTTTTTTATGAATCATTGAAGACTAGAATCAATTTTTATATTATATATTACATACATATATTTCTGTCTTTATCCTTATATTTTTTTTTAAAGATTTTTTTCTTTGTTTCTTTGTTGTTTCAATAAATTATCCACAAATAATGTAAAAGACAATCCCATAGCTATACAATAAATAGAAATGATAAAAAACGTCTCCGTTTGGATGACAATCCAACCAAGCATATATAAAACCTTTATCGAGCAATTTTCGACTATACTAAATTGCCTAATTGGTAGTACTTGGTTGGATCGAACATTTAAATGATCGAATGTTGTGTTCAAACAGCTCGAAAATGTTGACGTGCTCGAACAGCTGATGTTCGAACATTTTTTTAGTGCCTCACTCAAGCACAAGTATACATATTTTGTTTATTATTTATTATTTTTGTTATCAGCAATAATGTTTGCACAATATCTGCATATTTATATGATAATGTAAACAAACTTCTGCTTTGTTTATAATTGATTTACTCACATTTCAGAACCCTAAATTACTCGATATTAATTGAGGCTTTCAAACAAGAAGAAATCAGTTGCAATGCTTTGAGAATCGAGAATCGAGAAAAAAAGTGATAGAAAAATAAAGTCATCATCATCAGTTTTCGCTTTAGCCAATTTCGTTCTCTTGAATGTCCACTGCTAAATTTGTATAATTTATTGAATTGTTATTGCGTTTGTCTCTAGATTTGTCTGTATCTGTCGTGTGAACGCTCCTTTCGGTACTCGTCGTCGTCGTCGTCGTCGTCGTCGTAGTCGTCGTCGTCGTCGTCGTAGTCGTCGTACAGATACTAATAATGACAATGTTCAGTCGTTGACGTTGACGTTTTCGACGTTGATTGCTGCTGCTTTTACGACGAATTCTCAAAATTGCCATTGAATAGCAAAATCGCTGCCTCCGATGCGATGCTTAACCCAGTGAACTATACCAAGACACCGAAATGCAAATGATACACACTCAGTTCCCAACAATTCCCAACCGGCGATGGTGGCGCCATTTCCGTAGCGACAAAGAAAATTTTTACAAAATCAAATGAAAAACGATTTTAATTATCAGCAAAGCAAAGCGAAGCAACAAAATCAATCTATAAAGTATGGAAAATTAATAAATTCAATTGAGTAGAACGAATGAAGGAATGAAATTCTAAAATTCTGAAATTCTAAAATTCTAAAATTTTTCTATACTTTATTTTATTACTAAACAGAGCTGAACTGAGCTGAACTGAGCTGAACTGAACTGAACTGATCTAAACTGAAGTGTTTGTAGTTATTTAATAAAAATTTGTGTTAATTTCTTGTTTACTTCTCGTTGAGAAATACGCGTGCGAATATCGAAGTGAAATATTTTACATTGTTTGCACTCAAAAGTATGGATAGATACTAAATATTCGAGTATTTATACTTGTTGATGTTTTACTTTTTTATAATACAGAAATATATATGTGTGTTGTTGTTGTGTATATATACCATATATTCATACAGAGCCGTTCTGCTCTTTAGAAAAGTTGTTGAGTTCTCTAAAGCATTTAGAAAACTATACTATAAATTGTTTGTTTCATTACAAGTTTTTATCATTAATTTTATACAATAATTTTTTCCATTTATTATATTATATTATATCATATTATGCATACATATTTATATATTGAATATATGCAAATAAAAAACACTCATACGACTCATACGACTCATACGTAATATTTCAAACGTGTTTAATAAATACAATAAAAAACTTTCTGAATCGAATTGCCGATACTTTTTTCATTGCTCGCCAAGAATGCTGCTTAGTTTGTGAATAAACTACGACGAAGCCACTTTATATGCGCGATAAAAGTATTTTACATTTTATTTTTTGAAATGCAATTATTTGTTGCTTTAATTGTCGTCGTTGCAATCTAAAGTGTGAATTTCATATCAATTTAATATTGTAGGGTGTGCACAAGTGTAAAGAGGTGTCTGACATAATATACAAGTTATAAACTGTTGCCTAATAGTTTGTACAGCAGCCGCCGCAGCCGCCGCCGCCGCCATACAAAGTTACGTAAATAAATATTATTTAATAATATTTTATAAAATAAATAGCACTGAATTATTTTAAACAAGAACAACAATAACAATAACAATAACAAAAATACAAATACAAATAAAAATAAAAATAAAACTACAAATACAAATACAAATATAAATTCATATACATATATACCTATATATATACCTATATATATATAAGATAAAAAGAATTTTCAATCGAAGTGAATTATGTTACCGCCCGCTGCATACGATGCTAGTTTCGCTGCACTAAATAAATCCATCACATCCACAACTCCTACTAGCACACTAACCGCTCCCGGTCACGCTCAAAGTTGCGTTACTAGTGCCAATTACTGGTCCAATATGATTAAGTATCCGCGCACAACCTCATCAAATTCATCAGGATTTTTTGAGGATGATGAATCGTTAAGTCTTTATCAGACACCGCCGCACTCTCCAGCAACTGGTAGTGTGCCACAGTATTTACAAAGGAACATTGTTCGCATGTTTAGCACTGAAGAGTAAGTTTCGTTTCTTAAAAATATTAACTAATTAATTAAAATTATGTATTATTTAATTTATGATAAACTTTAAAAATTAATATCTTTTCCCATAAGTTCACTGAGTGCAATTAATTCACTAAAAGTAAAAGTGACACTTTATCTCCCAGAAATATAGTCATAATTCATAAACTCTCAATATTCATTTCATCATCTCTCATTAAAAGCAATAAAATTATATACTAATTACTATATACATATCATGTTGATCGATCAATAAATTTGAGGAACGTCATCTATTCGTTAATGATAAAAGTAAGACTTCGACACCATTTCCTTTCTAAGAACATATGCGAAAAACTATTTGATTTGCGATTGTCGAAGTATTTTTAAAAAAGGAGAAAATTATCCAATCCATCGTGTAGTGACCAAATCCAATAAATAAAAAGTCTTCCAGACTATTAAAATACTGCTATGATAAATGTAGTGGTTTGTTTAAACAATACTTGTGAAGTACGCCTAAAAGCAGGAAAAAGAAACAATAATACATTTTCTCTGTGAATGCCCAGCTCTAGCATCCAGAAGATATAGGTTCTTAGGAAAATGCTTTTGTGATAGTTTATCAGACTGCTCAATGGTGAAGATGAAAGACCTATTAAATTACCTAAATTCAGTGGGATGGATTTAGTCTCTACTCTTCTATACTAGGGTTCTTGCGAGAATGTGGTAACAAAACGGCGAAAAATCGCTAATTGAGGTACATTTGAAGTTATCTTATGACCTGCCACTGCAACCAACCAACCAACCAACCAACGTCTAAAAGCTGCATCAACTATAATTGTCGCAAAAATATATAAAATCGTATTGGAAGATCAAGAGAGACTTAATTGAAGTGCTTGCAGTGAGAAATATTTCATACTAAGTTTTGGATTCCAAAAACAATGCAGCCAATAACAGTTTGAAATACGATCACCAACAACTGATAATAAATATTTTGTGTCTCATTTCATGGCTAACTATTGACACAGAGATCGACCACAGTGAACCTGAATAGAAATAAAAGACTGAACTGCAGACAATGAATTCCAGGATTCAAAACTCGTTCGACCCTGAAGTAAGTTCGAGTACAGAAATCAGTCCATTTATGTATATATACTTTTATAATATATAAAGCACAAATAAAGCCCATCTTCCACATCACATTTGAATGCTGCATACACACACCAAACCAACTATTACGACTTACACGCTTACGACTTAAAAATATTAATCATATTAAACATTAAAACATTATTTATCAACAATTGAATTTTTATATTTAAAACAAACATAAACAGTAAATTTAGAACAAATTAAGAAAAAAAGTTCAGTTCAATACATCAATAAATTTTGTAATAATTTCCCTCATATTATTTTATATTAGTCGATTGATGGGCCTATAAATACGTTTCATATTGTAATGCGAAAAATTATATGTCCAGTAGACCGACCGGTTCCTAGTAAGTATTGTTTATTGTTAGTTATTACTGATGTCTTGCGTCAGTTATATTTGTACCTATGGATATGGATATATGTCACATTTTGTTGCTAGCCTCAAATAGTTTGTCTATTAATCAGATAATAAATAGGTTTCATATTATTTTTTGTTATTATTAATGTGTTGTGATATACTTGCAAAGGGTTTACCTGTTATTTTACTTATCCATTAGAAACAGTCTATAAGATGCATTATCTACATTTTTCGTATTGGTTAGACGTAACTTGTGCTCCAATGCTACTTCTAGTAAAATTTTGCAATCGCAATAATTTAGCCGCTGCCAGAATATTAATTCAAACAGAGTCCAAATAATATATCCCAATGAGAATTAGTGAATGAATTAGTGATGTTTTATTATTGAGTAACGTGTTCATTAAATTAACTAAACCAATGAACATGCATGAGGTACACACTGTTGTTGTTGTATATAGACCCACTCCAAATCGAATATAATATAATGTAATTGAGGGAAAAATAAACTGAAATAAGACAAGGCCATCAGTCAATATTTGGAATGGTTTTATAGAAATGTGTGGCTTACATGGAATTACTTATTCTTTTAAATCATCTTCCAGATTAAACTCATTTGATAGACTGAGATCATCTGGTATTTTCTCTACGATTTTTATAACAAAATGTTTTTTATAAGAAGGCAATACTTTTGATAGCCAATCCTCAAATGAATCATAATTGAATCGTTGCTTACTTTTCGGTATACAAAGCACAGTTACGTGTTTTTGTTGACCCTCTACAGAGGGCATTTTGAAAAAAGCAATATTTTCAATATGCGGTATTAAACGAATTACAACCGCATTCATGACCATAGCAAAGATATTTTCTTTAAACGGTTCCAATAAGCTTGTCTCACCTCCAAAAACGACAAGCATTTCCTTATAGATAATCATAAAATTACTGCGTTTGCTGTCACTACTCTTTTCGCCACTTTCACTTTCTTCTTCATATTCTAAATGCAGCATATATTTTAGTAGTTTCTTGTATAGATTTTCCATTGACTCCGATGATTTGCAGGTTCTACCTAAGGCTTGAGCAACTGTGAATGCTTCGTCAAGTCCTTGGGACGCTTTCGTGTCCAAATCAACTAAATGCAGATTTTCTATTTCGATGAAACGTTCATACAATTTACTATTTGTAATTGTCTTCCAATTTTTATGTATTTCTTTAGAGAGCTTGCTAAAGTCTGCTATCATCAATCTGTACTTGGTTGAACAGTAGCTACTTATATAGTCACGAATAATTGTATCATGCATGAACACTTTGGCGAAAGTATTTATCAAGAGTGTATACGTTGATGAATCTGCAAGAAGTATGTTAGCGTTTAGTTTATCAGACCCATTAATGCCAATTAGTTCCTCCCAAAGCGTGAGCAGGTTTGATTCATCGTGAAAAATAACTTTACCGCCTTCGCTGAATACACTCATACCATCGAGATTTATATGCCAATTCGTATGTGGAACAACACTCAATAAGGTATCATCACTGCAATAGTCGTATGTTTTTACATAGAACTTGATCTGCTCATGCAAGTCCCTGTGAGTATATCTCAACGGAAGTGGGGTTTTATCATAATTTATAACGTATTGAATCAATGCCGTCTTATCAATATAGAAATCGTTATTGATCGCACCGTCGATAAATGTCATATCTCCAATATTGATAAACAATTTTCTCAAACTTTCGTTAACCTCGTCCGGAGTTGCCATGACTGTGGGCTCAAGCAATAGTAGAACTATATCATGTTTTTCTGCAACTTCACGAGCAACCTTTTCAAATTCTATAGATGCCATCATCATTTTGATCTTTGTAGTTCCAGCGATGTGATTTATCAACGCTGTAGGGAATGTTGTATCAAACGGTATTGCAATCTGGCCCGACAGCCAACAAGCCCATTGCATCAGGGGGCAGAGCACATTATTTGTGCATATATATCCTACATGCGAGGATGATGCGCTACCTTTAAAGTAAATTTGAATTTAAAATGTAGAACCTGTGAGATGTTTCTGTCTAATAAAATAGTCATGCAAGTGTTACTTACCACAAACATTTGAAATCTGACATCCGATTTTTCGCGCTGTCACAAACATTGTCGCATATGAATATATGCCACTTGAATCCTTAATTGCAATGCGATCATCATAGAAAAGGCTCTTTTTAAAGAAAGGAAAAAAGTATTCTGCATTTTTTTCTTCCATTGCCTTAGCCTTGTTCAAATTAGTCATGTACGCTTCTTTATTGAAAACCTAAAGGATTTATTTTATTATAATACTTAAAAAGAAAATAAATGAAGATTTCAATTTACCAATTCAGTACCAGCTTTGCGAATATCCGCATAGTGACGAATAACGCTTTTGCGAACCAACGAATAAAGTTTATTCATTTTCTTTCCTGAAACACAATGAAGAGATATGTTTTTACAAATTTATATATATTCTGTTGTATATCATATTTGACATATTAGGAAAATAATTTAGGTAACTATGTCTTTTGAGATTTTCACTGCAATGTGTGAATAGAGGAAAAAGAGATTAATATGAAATATAGCAAACATATTAGCATCTAGTACAAAGTAGGTCTAGTTAAAAAAGGATGTGAAACGTCAGATTGTCTAGCGATGGTTCTACACCCATGCGAAAGGACACATCACAGAAAACGCTATTGATTTGTAAAAGTAACGAACGCATACCCACGGTTAATCGGAATAAACTAAGCTCAACAAGAGAAGAAACGGTTCATATTTAGGGACAAAATTTTAGATACAGCGAGAAGGGGAGGGAGGAAAAACGGTGAGCGAAACAGAAGAATATTGCAGAACGTCAAGAATGAAAAATATTTTTCGGGAGTCACTTTTCGTTGCAAATACGATAAGGGGATTCAACAAAATAAGAAAAGAAAAAGGATTTTTAGAATCATTTAGTATTAGTGGTCAAACTTGACAATTAATATATCATTTTTATTAATATATTTAATAGATGTTTTTACCGTAGATGGAGCTAATTTTTCTTTTAGTTAGTTTTTAAACTGTTTTAGTGAATGACTGAAAATGGTACTTGTAACTCACACACGATACTGCCGTATTTGCATGTACTATTCTATAAGCACATATTTAAGGACTGACTATATAATTATGCACTTAAAAAATCAATAGAAAGTTTTCAGCGGGATATTAATTACGTAAATCAAAGTTTGTAATCAATATTTATAAATAAATGGTTTGTTAGAGAGGGTGCCACATACCTTTGTGTTTCTGAATAAAAACCACTGCTGTATTTGAAACAAACGTATCTGAAACTCTTTTATTCTGAAATAAAAACAAAAATAGATTTTATATGATTGGTTCTAAAATGTCAAATTTAAATTATTCAAGAACTACTAAACCAATGTTAACTATGTATGTGGAGGTATAGCGCTGCATGTACTGCAATGCACTGATTCGGAAAAATCAGCAATAACAACAACGATTGATTTGTCTTTCTTAGGTCGAAGTGCAGACCTTTTCAGTGGTATTATTGAACTTTAGATCTTAAACCTAACCGTTGTGGTAGTTGTTGTTGTTACATTGTAAAATTTGTAGAGCTAATCTCTTGTGCGATCATGACATTAGCCTCTTGCAATCAATTTAGCTTGAATATCTTCATACCACATTTCACTGTTAGTAACAACTTGAACAGTAGCGCAGCAGAATGCAAATATATAATAATAAATATGTTTGTAAATGAATTATCTATACATATATATATTATATATATATATATTACTTTATAGCGTATATTACATTGATATTGTAAAATAGGTTTCATTGTCATTTATATTGATTTTAATACCAAATGCATTTTACGCTATCAACGCACTTCAGTTTATCCGTATTTATTTAAAGTATTATTATTTACAATATTTATGTATATGTTTATACATATATATGTATTTATCTGTAATTTCGTAAAATAAAAAAAGTTGCTAATATATCAGTACCGTTGGAACAAGGGTACAAACAGTAATAATGTTTTAAGTCTTACATTTTTTTTCTCAGTGTAGTTAATTTTTTAATTGCTCTTTGTTTGTCAAAATTAAAAACGCAAAATGCAGTCATCATCATTAATCACGTAATTATATACAAACATATATGTATAGAAAATTTAAATATTTAATTTTTTAATTATAAGTTTTTATTAAAATCACATTTTATTAAGGGTAAGGGTGCAGGGTCTTTAATTATGGACTTCGTTCAGTTAAAGTAAAACAAAATAAATTATTTTTTTTAAAAATAGTTAGTTGTTTTCGCCATAGAATATATCACAACATTATTCTCTAAAATATTATTTTATAGTTGGTTATTGAAAATATCTAATCTGATATTGCGATGTATATACATACGAGTATATAATACGAGAAATTCTTGAGAAGTTTTGCGATACACTTTTTCCAATGATGCTTCAACTTTTAACCCGATGCTACATTCACAGAAATAGTAGCTCTCAGTGTATTTACTTAGAAGAGGGAAACCAGTTAAAAATACCGTTTCTAACAACAGTTACCAATCTAATTGCCTGAACCATTCTATCTAAGTTTTAGAATTCTTTAAGTGTTTAAGCACGCAATTCACGGAGAGATTCGTATAATATTTAAATCCTCATGACACCTCACCAAGCTCTCTAATTTCTAATTGGACCCTTATCCAATACCATTCGATGCATTTTTTATTCGTCTCGGGGGTTAAAATTTGTTATTATATACTTTTCTTTTAGTGTGTGGTATTGTGGTATCTCTTCTTGGAACAATGATTTTATTATCGCGTATGATTTCTTAAAAAATCCAAAAAGTAAACTTTACAGTTTGCTGCAGTTTGTTATGCGCAAATATTAAAAATTGAAAAATTCGGAAATTATTGCATATCTGCACGAAATTAATATGAGAAAGAGTTTCAATAATTTCCAAGAATATTTAGAAGAATAAACAAATAACAAAATTTAGTAGTCCAGACGCGGAATATTTCCCATTAACATTGATTAGTAAATACAATTAATATTTCCGAAGAAAAGCAATTCATAAACATTTAATTTTTATGAGGAAATGGACCCCAAGTAAAACACTATATACATATATACATATATCCATTTATTCAAATTGCAATTTTTGCTGCGTATTCGAAAAAAATATTTAACGCCTTTTCTTAAAAATGTTAGTTGCAAATTTCTTATATATCTTGATTTAAAATTCAAAAAATGATAAATAATAAACAATTTTTCTCGCCGTTTTATTCAGTTTTCAAGGAAAATAAAAAGAATTTTGCTTTCTAATCAATTTTTGTATTTCAGATTAAAAACGACTGTTGTATTTGACTTCTTTTATTCTAAAATGAAAACAAAAATAGTTTTTATGTGATTTGTTCTTTGTTTGTATGTATATGTAATGACAACAGCAACGATGGCTTCATCTTTCTAAGATCAACAAAATATAGATCTTTTTAGGGATATTGACCCTTACCATTCTTCAGTTTCTGTTATTATTATAGGAACGCTGATATAACTTAAACTTACTATTGTACAGATGTATATAGATATATATATATATATATATTTTTTCAAAACTAGCGACTATCTGTAACCATCCTTATAATCCGTTATTTGTTACTATCTGTCTTAATTTGGCTTTAATTAACTTTAACTTAATTGTAACATTTATTATTATTATTATTTTAACTGATAATTATATTGGAATAGTTATTATACGTATAAATAGACTCTTCTCTTAGCACAGATATGTAAATAATATTACATCCAAGCACTTACAATAGAAAAAGTGTTCTTACTTACTAATAATAGCAGTGACCCCGTATTAAGTGATTGAATTAGCTGAAGATTTCCTTTGTTACTAGATCTGCACAAACTGAAACCTTACTTCTAATTTTAGATGACACAAAAATTATTTTTACAATTCATATAGAACAAATTTTTCATTATTAATGATAAAAAACGTAAAGCCCACTTGATGTGATTGATTGATTAATTATCAAATAATAAACAAGTGAAATATATATTATTACAATATAATAATTGAATAAAATTTTATATAAAATATATATAATTATTATAAGAGATAAATAACAAATTTCTATTTTCACATCTATTCTTTTTCGTAACTTTATAATATTATTCATAAATATTTACTATAATGTATAAATACAACTGAAATTCGAATAAGTGCGTCATTTTTGAAACCAGTTATTCACAAATCTTGTGATTGTTTTATGAGTGAACGTCTATCGAAAGTATTATCTACACTATTCGCAGTTTGTGACTATTTTCTATTAACTTCATGCCACTGTCTGTAAAACATATATAAATTGTAGTGCAATATATACCCAGAATTGATTACTAAATGCAACTGCATTTTTAAGTTTCATCTGAAAATTTAAGCCCTAGACAGAGCATAGCACTCGGTAGTAAGCCTCGTGGCTAATTTCAGCCAGCTGAGAATAGGTAATATAAGAAAAGAGACAATCTTCAAACTATACTTGTCAAAATATCATGACATTCAGGTTGTTAATTTAATCATTGAGTTACATCTTTCGATTGATTTATTTTTTGTTTTACGAAACAGTGTAAAACTATATTCGAAGCAGTTATTAATTGTGAAGCAAATAATTCCGAGCTCTTTTTAAAGTTATTTAAAAATAATGAATAGAACTTCTTGCTTCAGCACATATCAATGAATAAAATAAAGGTCCATCTCTACACTCTTTAGTCAAATCGGCAGTCCACTTTTTCCGCCGACCATGAACGCAAAATTTATCCGGAAAGGTTATGGTTCCTACCATATATGTTATAGAAAGCGCATGTTTTGAACTACCACGACTAAGGAAACAGTAACTAGTTTGGGTTATAAGTGCATTTGAACGAAAAACCCGCGGAAAGATGAGCTCAAGTAACGAAAACACAAATGCTCTTTAAACCCAATACAGCACCCTATCGGAAGTAGTTGGTTACAGTGACTGGTCGCCAGCGGCTACTCCCACCTGTTTGCGGATTTTAAAAAAATACTCAAGTGAAAGAAATTTAATTAGATTTTTGAAAGAAAATCAGAACTTTTTTCGCATTCAGTATTTAAATATACAGGTTCAAGACTTTCTTATTTTCAAGTAAGTCACTATATACATTCATACATATATTTCATTTTTTTTAACAATTTTATTCAGATTATTGCATTTAAATATGAAATAAATTGCGTTTACTTACCGCAAATCCAAAAGTTAAAGAGCACAAATATGTTGAATGACACACAACAATTATTACAATATTTCTTTTTTCTGAGAATGAAATTCATTGAAATAGTTTATATTGAATGCACGGCTAACATGATATTTAGTATTGAAAAAAAAGGGCACAATATTAATTAAATGAAACACTGTTTGCAATATTTTGACAGCGACAGTGAAATACATTATCTGTCAAACTAACAGTGTTACCAACTTTTCATAATTTTTGCATTGATATAAAATTCTCCTCATGTAGAAGTTATTTTTTTTTATTAAGTTTTCTTAGTCTCTTAAAAACTGGCAAAACCCTATTTTGGAATGGAATAATTTTTCTCTCCAGATATGAGATCATAAAGATGGTGTCTTATAACACGCAAAAGCAAAAACTATTTGTTACTAGGATGAGTTTTTAGTATAACACGAACCTACATCCCTGGTTTATGGATCCCATCCCCGTAGTGGTTTTCCAGAAACTGTGGAAAATGTTTCTTTACGGCAGCTAGTATCTGTTCGATTGGTGAAAAGCAAGTTTCTTAAAAGATTTTTGGTCAGGTAAGAATTCGACGAAATTCAAGCAAATTTTCTGGTGTCTGGAACACTGATTTAGTGATGGCTTTTTCAGCTATGTGAGTAGATGCTGAAATTCTCTTGATGGGAAATGATTTTTGTATTCTGTAAGCAGAGGTCTTTTTTGTACTATTGGTCTAGGTTTATTATTTTACCAGTTTGGAAGTTTCTTCTAAACTAATCTGTGGACTTTTACTCACTTTAGGAGTCAAGGAGTTGGGTTTACACCACTTCTTCAGTCTCTTTTTTTTTTAGTCAGGATTATGGTGGTTGATTGTCGAATTGTTAAGGAATCTAGCACCTATTGTGCACACTGTTGTTCATATTCTGTATTTTTTTGTTGATGCTGTCAATTATGTTGACAGCTTTACTAGAAACTGCCACTATGACAATAAGCTTTGAAGGTTGAAATAAAAGTGAAATTATAAAGAAATGTTTAAATATATTTGATCAATTTTATTTGCATTCATGTGGCAGAAGATTGATTTAGCGAAAGGTTGTTTTTAGTTTCAGTGTTTCGTTGGGAATAAACATGAATTTATTATTCAGCATCTGAAGAGAATCTTTCTGATGTGCTCGTATATACTTGAGTGTGTCTGCACGTTTGAGCAAGACCCGGTATTACGTATTGTCGTACATTTTAGTGCATTTATAAATTTCAGTTTTTTGCGCAATCCATTTCGATTGGGTGTTGGCACACCACTTTCTCAGTTTGGAATAGTGAATACATGTGCCACCATAAATTACCCATTCGAATGGCTTGTTCCACTGCGATTTGCTGTCCAATCGTTCGTTCGATTTGTTCATTTCTCCGAACTAAACATATGAACCGTTCACCCGCACCCTATTTAAAATTTTCATACAAGGTGTTATATTAACCTTGAATTTAAATGTTGTTTTTATTTTATACAACATTTGGTTTGCAGGAAAATTTATTGAGGATTTATTGGTACGATTTCGAAAATTTTATAGTTTGTGTAAATTAATTAACCTATTCGCGTTTATATATACGCATTGGCTAATATAAACAGTTTATTTTCCTCTCTTTCAGGTAAGTTTATAGCAAATTGTTAATATATTTAGGGAAACGTAAATAAGTGGAAAGCTGTAAGTAATCTGTTAATCTGAAATTTATAACTTGTGCAACAAAACAAAGGAAATTACTTAATGATATGTACAAAATAAAATTGATTTTAGTACAAATCACAAAAAATTTTATTCTTCACTGATTGTTATCTGCACTGGACGTCCAGTAAAGTTTTATAGTTGCATTTGACTACTGCTTCAATCCATTCACATTAGTTAATGTACATCGATAATGGATTTATGTTCAATAAATATAAATGAGAAGAAATCGAACAGTTCCGAAATTACCAATCGAAGAAACAATCACCGTGACGCATTAAATGATTGCATATTTCATAATAATATGTATGGAGTCTTTCAGAGCAAAAGTCAACATTGCCCACAGAAGTAATAAAATATTTTATGTCGGAAACACATTCGAAAATATTGATTCCCATATTAATTTTTTGGGTAACATATTAATTGTCAGGCTTATAGCTTGACATGTAAACCACATGAGAATTATAATACACATATAAGAAATACTGATGCCATTACCTTTGTAATTTCAATCCATATGTAACAGTTTTGATCTATTTTGAATCTATTAATTTAACTTATCTTTCAACAAAAATGTGAAATGAAAGACCCATGTCTCATTTATGGTCACGACTCATAGTAAAAACTCTACTTTGCTTATAATTATACGGGCAAATATTATATATACGAGTACCAATATATACAGTGGGGCTTACAGTTTATTTTGTGTTGTGAAATTTTATGCTAAATTTTGTAGATTTAGTGGTAAAGTTCCAAAAATTTTATTCAAAGCACATTCTGACCTCACATCTTATTTCGTGTATTGTTTTTGCCTCTAAAAATCGTGCATATAACGGGGCTTTGAAACTAATGGTTTCAAATGCATGTCAAGTTTATGTTTTATGTTATATTTTGTTTGCAATACAATACCTTCTACATCTGCTATATGATCTAACTGCTTACCACCAGATGAGATTGGTCTCGTAAACTCTTACTTGACTATATTTTATATATAATTTGACTAACCTTGTGTTTCATACGATCTAATCCAACCCGGTTTCCAATTTCATATGCACAAATACAAAATTTTAAAGTATCTTTGAATGGCGTATAATAAGAACGAAGTTAGGAAAAATATGACAAGTTATTATGTTGTTTTTTTTTTTTTTTTTTTTTTTTTAATATTATGACATTAATAAAAAATTATCTATGTTTGCTTTTCCTAAAGTTCACAGAAATATATAGCAATCCAATATTTTTATGAAGCCAACGAAATTCATGCTTCAAACATAAATTTTTTTTGCACTTTTCATCTGGTATTGTTTAAAATCTTAGAGACGTTAATAGCATAAATAGTGAAATCTTTCTTCAATCATAGGTCTTAATAGAGCAAAGACAATACAATTTAAACAGTTGCACGATTCTTTATGGAGAGCTAAAAGATCCAAAAAATTTTTTTGTGTCAAAAGTAAACTGAATAAATAAAAATTAATTAACAAAATATATATTTTAGCCTTGGAAAGTATATTTACTTCTTTGCTCCTATCTTAATTATTTAAAAAACTCGCATGAAATTTTAATATCATAAATAATTTTTTATGGAAATTTGTAACACTTTATAGTATTACCAAGTGAAACTTAAGCGCAATCTGGTACCTAGTGGATCTATATTCAGAAGTTTAATTTGTCTTGTTTTTTTTTTACTATTTCGTCTCGTCAATTAGACGAGAGATTGCTCGTAATGATACTATTTAGACGTTCAATAGAGAATAAGTAAACAAATGTAATTAAATAATTTTTTATTTTTTTTGGTTGTTTTTTATAAATATTTTTTTACATAATTCTGCCCTTGATCTATTAATTGTTTAAAACCTTTTCACCCTCACCCCACCCTATATCTTCTTCCGTATAACGCAGTTATTCTGTTTTAATAAAAACCTAATCTGTTTTACTATAATATTGCTGCTACAGTTGCACTATTATCACTAACGTCATTATGACGAAAGACCGCAAATGACTTTCGTTACATACTTTGTAAATATATGCCTAATAAATTCAATAAAATCAGCTGTGCGCCACGTGATGTCCTTCAATGCAAAGCGTGGCATGGTCTGTTTTTGTTGCTGTGCAAAATTAAAAATCGACACTAACCACAACTGCAATGACAGCACACCATTACACAAAAAAAAGGGGAAAAAACTGCACTGAAAGCACTAAAAACTGATAACTCATTTCGCTCCCGTGCTCGCTGTTCGTCCCTCGAATTGATAATACCGACAGCATTGGGTTCCAATATTTTTATTAGACGCTTTACTTGAGTCTTATTGACTGATAAGCTAGTAAGAACTTTGATAACTTTTTTCTTAAAGGTTTTTATATGATTCGTGTAATAATCATTTGTATTTTTATTTTATTTTCTTGTTTTTGATTTTGATTTTGTTTAATGATTATTTTTACCTTCTCCCTCAATATACTTGAAATAAAATTGTGTTTGGTACGTCTTGATTGTAAAATCACAGAAAGACATGTCTATATGTTTGTTGTCGGCACAGAACTGGGTTAATAAGGAGATTGCTCTGATTTTTAATCTTTAGAATGTTCACTTTGATTGAGATTTATTCAGACTTTAGTAGTAATAACTTTTTTTTTTGATGTGTATAATTAGGTCTTGACCTCTAATGCTTGAAAAGTTACATTGAAATGTTTGGATTTCTTTTAGCACAAAAAAAAGTTACTTCTTTTTGTTCAAAGTTGAAAGAGGATAGTCGGTTTCCAAATCTGAGATATCAATATATCCTTCTGCGAGTGCTGATTTTACGTGAAGGTTATCAAACCCAGCGGGTGCCAGGAAACTAACCAGGATTGCCACTTGAAGGCTATGCGGCGACCACTTGAATTCAGAACTACAACATTTGAGCTAACAATTTCCAAGTTAAATGCAATCAGAGATGTTGCCTTGTGTACTCTATCACAGATGCTCACGGGCGCTCGTGAAATCATTGGTCCTCTACACATTGTCGACGATTACCGCATCCGAATGAACCATGAGCTACCGACATTGACATAATTCTGTAAATTAACATTCAGTAGCTGAGCTGATTTGATCATTTCGTGAGAATGGATGAAAATTCTACAGCGGAAAAAGTATTTGAAGTAGGCGTTGGAGGAAGAAGGCAAAGAAGCAGACAGTTTCTTCGGTGGAATGATTAAGTTGAAGGAATAGTACCCGCACTTAATTTACGAGATTGAAAAAGACATGCATGTTTTGATTAAGTATACTAGTTTTCAATATTTTAAATAATCATATTCAATATTAGGAAAAAATTATATTGCATTGCTTTTATTATTTATTAATACTCGTTCAATGAATAGAAAATAAATAATTACGAAACTTAACTTTAAAATTTTGCAAATTTTTGTGATCTGTGGCCACTCTATCATATGACATCCAGCGTAAAATACAAATTTAAGTTTAATATGCTGTTACGCTTGTGGCTGTCGCTGTGGTTGTAGTTGATTTTATTGCTTGCTGTTTGTGATTGCAGCCAAAAACGTGAATTATCAAACCAATCAACAACAACAAATGCAAGCTTAAAAAATTTACTTAAAAAAAAAATACAATAAAGCAAAAACGTGACCACAACAACAATTTAACTAGTAACTTTATGCATGTAATGAAAAGTAAATATTTAAAGCAACAACAGTCAGTCAGTCACTCGTTGGCTTAAATGAATTACTTTCATTTATTAAGCTTAGGTTTGATCTCGCACATGTAATTTATACTGTAAACTAGGTTTTTAACCGCACTTCAAAAACGGAACCATATTTTCTAAACAGCAAGGCAGCAGCAGCACACAATGTTGCTTCACCTACCACCTTCCACACCTTAATGCAAAAAATTAAAATTTTTTAATTTTAAGATTTCCATTCAAATATTTCTGTTGAGATTAAAGTTTTGTATAGAAACTATGTATACAATTTTTTTAAAAATATTTTAAGTAAATTAACTGTTTAAAGTGAAATTTAAAACCTTTTATCGGTAGTCATGTGATTTTCCCGAATGCGTTCGATTAATTTACTTACATTAATACTATATATGCTATAAATGTTAATAAGGGAACTCGACGAATTGGGCCAACTATCATGGAATGACTCTTATTCCTGTCATGTGGGTATAAAGTCCTCTCATGCGTTCTGTGTCAAAATGTCAAAAGTTAAAGCCACATACCAACTCTCCCAAAAAATTTAGCGGCACTGGGAAAGTTTTTAGAAAATGTCTTTATTATTATGTGTTTTAGTTCACCACAAGTGAATTACGGTTACCGTATCCGATCGAACCACTAGCTGTAAGAGTTTTATTACGCCATTGACATTATTTACTAAATTCGATAACCAACTCTCCTCTAGAATAATGAAGTAAAAAACAGTGACGTGGGTCCCAAGACGCTCAAGAGATTTGTTTGTTGACAGAAAGTACTTTGAAAGTACTTTTGTTCTCATTTACCACAAGATCCATTTGCTTTGCTTGTTTTTCTAAGTTGGAAAATGCCGCACTGACGACACGGGTGTTCAGACCAATGATATCAATATCATCGGCAGACGCAAGCAGTATTATACTTTTGTAGAATATTGTGCCAGTACGGTTTAAATCTGCTGCTAGGAATATCGTTTCCAACATTAGATTAAAGTAGTCACACGACAAGAAGGCATCCTGCCTGAAACCTCATTTGGTATCAAACGGCTCGGAGAGGTTCTTCCCAATTCTAACGGAGACCAGTATTACATTAAACCATAACCCAAAAATTCATTGTCAGAGCTTAGTATGTAACTAAGCAATATAAAAAGATGTCTACTTAATAAACACTATCTAAATTACACATAACTAAAATTTTTCGGTCATAATATATTGGAATGGGTTTAACCATCTGATTGCTTGACCCAAATGAGACAGACTTTTGGCTGTACTGTGCACTTCAATGACAGTGCTCCTGACCTTGATGTAAGGTAATCTTGCCTCTATTTTTGTCATCATTACAATGTGTACACTTTAATTATAATTTGCGGCATCGAAAAGTACAGTACAAACAACGTTAATTTAATGCCAACGCCAACGCAGTAACCAACAACACCAAACCGCAACAACAACAACAACGAAGAACAATAGAGCAATTGCTTAACACAACTTCATTTAAAAAAGGCAAGAGGGAAATTTATTGTGGCCTGTCCCTCTATCATGGCATTTGCCAATTCACTAATTTTCCCGCGTATAAATACCACTTCGGCTATTGTTGTTGTTGTTATTTTTCATGTTTATTTTTCGATTTTTTTTGCGTAATTTTTTGTTGTTATTCTTTTCGTTAATTGTTTTTTGGTATTTCTTTGCGCTGTTTTGATTGCGTTGAAATTAATTTACCTGTGTTAATTGGCTGTGCGCATGTAAAATGACAATTAAGCGAAAAAAAAACAATTAAAACTGAAGAAGCCATTAATCTGAACTGTGAGTGTCGTAGGTTGTTATTTTTACAGAATTTATTATTTTAATATTTAAATAATATCAACTTCAGAAATGCTATTAAATTATAATATTTTATTATTCGGTAAATTTGGTTTCAAAATTGAAACATATATATATAATCCCAACATCTAATGACCCCAGATGTGTACATGTAGAACCCCTAACAGCATAAATGGGTCAAAAGATTACGTATAGTTTATATACATATAAATACCAGGAAGTTGTGTATAAAAATAGATTTTAAACGGGTTGTGGAATCTTGTCACCACGTCTTTACATCCTTTGAGGATTATTGTGACCCACTTTAGTTCCATAGACGAGAAGCAGTTAAGAACGCCATTATGTCCTTTGGAGATATGTTGCCTAACTCCGTTATAAGTGGATAGGCAGTTGATAAGTACCGAAGTCTGACTCTGGCGATACTGTCACAGTGACACATAATGTGTTCTGCTGCAGCTATCGTCTCTTGTAATACCTAGGTTCGTAGATGCTTATTTATGTCCAGTGAGAAACCCGGTTTGTACCGTCTAACTAAAGTCGGTACTGATTGACTTAAATATCGTTTTCAACTATACTTCAAACTTGTAACTTTTAAATTATATTAAGCTAAGCTTA